CTATGATGCACAAGGACAGTGAAGCATCATATGAGGTGGGAAAGGAGGCTTGAATATTTGGCTCCACAGTGAAGGTGGGAGCAAGCTGAAGCAGACACAGAGGCTTGTTTTGTAGCCCTGTTAGTCTGCATGAGAGACGTTTGCTGTCTGGCTAGAGGATTCCTTGAATGTTACTTATGTAAGTGTAATTGATGACCAACTGCAACACAAAGGGACAATGACCATGTTGTATATCTAACCATAACCATAACCATGCATACTAGCCTCTGGCTTCCTTACTGCTCATTCCATCCAGGAAGAGCACACACCAAGTGCAGCTGCTTCCTCAGCCTGATGAAAGGTATTTATACTGAAAAGCTTGCAAAGGAGAATTTTTCCAACTATTTGAGTTGGTCTAATAAAAGATATTGGATTTAACCAAAAAATGTCTGTCCATGTCCTTAGACCAACATGGCTATAACCTATGCCCCTGACCATAACACTGGCATTTCCTTATAGCTGAGTAAATCCTTCGCTGTATAGCCTAAGCAGAGTCAATTTTTGGATGACGTATTGTAAAAATACACAGACTATTCCACGAAGGACCTAATATTGCCATCCATGATAGTTCCCACATTACAACTAGAACTGGTGCTCTGCACACAGCTTGATTTGGAGTTTGCAGCAGCTGCAACAGCTTTGTTCCTCACAGTTTATGAGATTATGGCTGCTCATCTAGAGGTCACCTACTATAATTACAGGCAGGATTATTTTACCTGTAAAATTTACAGTAAAGAAGGCTAAAAAAATCCCCAAGCCTTACATCATTTGGCCTGAAGAAAATGTTAAGGGAAACTCACAGGGGTAGGAGAAAACCAGCCTCCTGAAATTAAATGGTAACTGTCAGAGTTGTCAGATAATTGTAAAGCGGCTGTGTATAGGAAGAAGGGTCTTAATTCTCATCCGGTGTATGGTCTTCTAAAAACTCCTTGCATTGTGCCTCTGCTCCTAATGTGAAATACTGCCATGTCACATGTACTGCTCTCAAACCAGAAGGGGTGGAGCTGGCTCAGCAGGAATGGAGAAGTAAGTTGCTACCTTTTCAGAGCTATAATAATTCACTTGCAAGATGGAGGTCTTTTACCACAATCTTACCAGGGCTGTTCTGTTGACCACACAACTGAGGACCGTTTGTGCTCACGGCAAACCTTAACAGTTCAATCTGACCCTCACTTGGTTAGGTTTCTAACAAAAGACTAAAAAAACACCTCTTCTGAATCTAGATGCATTGGGGGTAATTATAAAAAGTACAATGATTTTAGATAAGCAGCTTCTTTAAAACCACAAAGTCAAAGTGAATCATCCTAAAGTAATGATCCTACCCAAACCCTAACAATAACCTATGATAGCAGCCCTTATCTCTCCCCAGAAGCTTGAATAAAGAGAGAGGCTTTCTAGCATGCCCTGACAGTCAACAGAAACAACTGAAATAGAGAGCGTACAGAAGAAACAGGGAGATGAACAGTATTTAAGTGCAAAAATTAAAATCAATTAAGGAAGAAAGGGGTGCTTTTTTTTCCTTTCTCTCATTAGGATAGTCTGGCCATCAAGAATAATATGGTTTTAACAGAAAACTTTTTGAAAGGAACACATTTGTCAGAGTTTGGACTAATATACCTTTACTAATCAGATAATTGATGAAAATCATGTCTGTAGATAAAAAGTCTGATGAACACATCATTGCATATATTATTTGGGGAAGAATAACAATAAAGCAAAACCTTAATGATTTTGTCACAAGTGCCATCTCAAGAAAAGTTCAGCAACTACCATTATCCCTGACAGGGTTTTATTATCATAGTGATGCATTATTCATAGATTTATAGACGCTAGGGCTGGAAGGGACCTCGGAGGATCATTGAGTCTAGCCCCCTGCCCCAGGAGCAGGAAGTCAGCAGGGGTCATAGGATCCCAGCAAGATAAATATCCAAATGTCTCTTGAAGGCATTCAAGGCAGGTGCTTGAACCACATCCAGCGGCAATCTATTCTAAACCTTGGGGGCTCGGACAGTAAAGAAGCTCTTCCTTATGTCCAGCCTGAAACAGTCCTGGAGGAGTTTGTGACCGTTCAACCTTGTCATCCCTTGGGGTGCTCTGGTGAACAGACGTTCCCCCAGATCCTGGTGAGCACCCCGATAAACTTTTAGGTGGCCACCAGATCATCCCTGAGCCTATGTGTACACACACATGTTTTGCACAACAGTAAGGCAATACATTTAGTCTTCTTAATTTTAAATCCTTTTAAAATAATACTAATATTGTTAGAGTCACATGGAGGAGAAGTTGCTGTAATAGAAAAGGAACCCAGATACACATTACAGGAAAACAATCTGTATGGCAGACTATTGTCCATTTGTCCTCTGGATAGAACTGAAACAGCCAAAAGGGAAACATTTCTAATCTTTCTTTATTGATTGTATTTTGCTCTTAGAAGATATAACCGGTTGTTTTTACTAGTGCCTCAAACAACTGGCCTTATAGTCTGGTAGTTCTATATTTATTAAATGTTACAAACATTACCCTTCATAAAAAGTTTGAAAAGTTCATTCTTCAGCATTGGAGGAATTACTGCTGGCATTTATACCAGTCAGTAGGTTCTTCAGTTTAAGTCATGCTAATGAAAACAAAACTCAGGCATTAAAACCCAAAAGTGCTTGATGTGCTTTGAAAATGCAAAGAAAATAATTCTCAGAAGTTCTAAATGTTTAGGGTGGACAAATGACCTGTGCTTAGGAGGTTCAGGTTTTGGAATTATGCAGTCAGTGAATGTAGCTCCTATCCATCTAGGATGCCACTTCTCCAATTAAATGCTGCATTTGCTCCATGTGTTAATGTCTTAACTGGTGGGTTAATCAGCTCCCATCTGTTCTCCTCTTTAAGTTCTTCACAGAAACACATGCCCAGTGAAGGAACCTGGAAGAGCCAAGAAATGACAGCAGAATTTATATTAGAGCTAACCTAAAAATATTGGCACATGGGAAGTTACAACATTTAGCCTGAAAGCACCTTGCAATCAAATATTTTGGCTATGGAATATGGCTGTGCATCTTAAGAGCAGTTTAAGGGTGAGATTATACATTAGCGTTAGCAAGTTAACTAGTGCTAACTAGTGCTTAGCTGTGTTAAGGTTAACTAATGCTAGTGATCAGTCACATATTTGGGGTTAATACTATCTCTTATGTGCACTGTTCATACCTGTGCCTAGTGTCCTGGTGAGCAGGGGTATGGCTAGGGCCTGCAAGTCTGCTCTATGCTCACCCTGCTCGCTGGCTCTATAGCTACAGTATAGGCTGGGGAGAAGGCAAAGGAAAGGGCCCCTCTGTGCCACTTGGATCACTACCTCTGCCCTGCACTGGCCCCTGGATCCTTCTTCTATCTGTGATTGCCCCTTCACTTCCCAATTGGCCCCTCCATCCCCTGATCACTGCCCTGCCACCCCAATCAG